GTCTGAACGACACTATCTAAAGAACACGCCAAGGTAGACCATGGTGTGGACATCCCACCTGCGCATGGTTGAGTCGTTGTCCATGGTCAACCGAGTGCAGAGTATCATGGCTGGGGAGGTGGGCATGGGTGATCACCATGGTCTAGGCAATGTCCATGATTAAAATCTTGGTTTTCCATGGTCAAAATCTCAATTTGACCATGACAATCATGGTTTTTTTACCCTGGGAACCTAGCCTGGGTCTGTTTTACTCTACTTTTTTGGAAGAGTGGAAAGCATGAATTCAGACAAAAAACAACAGAAAAAAATGGGACTTTAAACCTTGTAACCATGTTAAAATCCACACCGTCTGAACTACAAAAAATTACCGGATGTCGTCTTCGTTGTTAACTTCAGGCTCAGGCTCCGTGTTTTCAGACATTTCTTGTGCCACTTCCTGAAGGAGGTCGGCGTTTGCGTGGAGGAAAACTATGTCGCCCACGCGGCTGCCGGCCAGTGGAAATCACTGTGGACGCAATGTATACCTCAGAGCGGATAACAGCCTCTCCACTGAAACTTGGGTGGCGGGGATAGCGAGGACAATGAGTGCCACCTCGTACAGCTCTGTCCATATTAGCTTCTTGCTCTCCCAGAATTTGAGCACATCTGATTTGACGCGCAGAGATTTCACTTTGTCGTATTCCTCCAGCATAGCCCGAATCTTTGCGCGTCCACTGATGGTTGGAGGAGGTTCGGCGACTTGTCCACGACCACGCCTGAGCCTGCTCGGTCCTGCTCCTGCTCGGCTGGCTGCTGCTATGGCTGCTGCGCGCTCCTTGTTCTTCTGGGCACGAAAGGACTGGAAGGGATTTTCATTACTCTCGTTGTCCCCTTCCTCCTGCACGGTCACTTCAGGCTCCACTTGTACTCCGCGACCTCTCTGAACCTTCTCCCACAGGGTGACCAGGTACTCCTTCGCCTGCTCGGTCTGCTCCTGCGAGAGGAGCGAGAAGAACCGCGGGTCGCCAAACACCGATGCATTGAAGGCAGGGTAATCAAAGAGGGATGAGAGTATCTCACCCCTCGCCCCGTTCCTGTACTGATGACATACTGATGACATAGGTAATCAAAGAGGGATGAGAGTATCTCACCCCTCGCCCCGTTCCTGTACTGTCCTGCCTTTGATTTTGCTTCCATGGCCTTGAGAAGTTCTTTGGAGAGTGCTGTATGACTGGCTCGGACTGGCCTCTGCAACTCTATCACTGCTTCCGTCCAGATGGCCAGCAGCTGACCGAGGGTCAGGTCCTTGGCTTGGAGTCTCACGGTGGCGGTGTAGACAGGAAGGAGGTCGGCGAGAAGGCCATCGACGATGTCCAACTGAGAGACAACTCCGTTCTCTCCTCGCTGCTGACATCCATCGTTGACTCGAAGAAGTGGCGCAGCACGACACTCTTCAGCATGTAGTACGTGGATCCCCATCTAGTGACAACGTCCAGCTGAGGAAGGGTCTTGTCCACGGCCTGCAGCTGTCTGACGCTGGTCGGCGTGAGCAGGACTTTGGCGAGGGCCCTTACATCGGTGATGGTCGTTTTCAGTTGAGCGTCCTTCTTCAGAGCCTCGTCGATGGCAAGTTGAAGAGTGTCAGCAGCGCACCGGACACTCTGGACGCTGTCCCCTCGGTGCCTATCTCGATGTGCAACCAGGCATCGTCCTGGGTGCCATCACCATCCAACTCCTGCAGGTCCTGCTGAAGTTCGCCGCTGACGTTCAGTAGTCCGCCCGCCAACAAATAGTTGGCTCCGTTGTCCGACGTCACGGAGATAACATTCTTCGCCGGGACGTCGTACTTCCGGAGGATCTTATGGAGGACAGCCTTGAGGTTTTCCGCTGAAGAGCGAACGTGCAGCTCCTCGACGGCTAACGTACGAACCTTGGTCTCGTTATCCTTGATATACTGCACGTTAACCCCGATGAAGTGCCGGTGACGCTTACTGCAGCCATCCACTTGCATAGACATTAATCTACCTTCCATTTCAGCCGCCATTTTCTGGCGTACCCGAGTGGCCAATCCAGAATTTTTTCCAGGAGTGAGGTTCGCACTGATGGTTGGCCTAAAATAGAAATGAGGGCCAAAACGTAAAGATATTGATTTTTCATAATTCTAAAATAAGCCAATTGAATCATTGCCACGCTATCCACTTCCCCCTCCCCTCCCCCCCTCAGTCTACTCCAGGCCGTCGGGTCGGCCGGGCGCGCTCGCCGCACCGCCGCATGCCTCGACCCGCTCGGAATCTTTGTTTTTCTCGTGGAAA